ATGATTTCAAAACAAATAGTGTGTGACACTGTATATGTCAGGAGTGTACTGTTTACAGAGAAAAGGATTAACAAACCATAATTGAGCCTCATCAATGACAGAGAAGTGAGAACAATCACAGGAAACTATTGTAACACAAAGGAGTTATGGTCCCATTTCCTTTTATTAAAAGCATAAATGAACAATAACACACCTTTATCTCGATGGTAATGTAAGAAGAATGGAGAAATTAATTTAACTTTGACAGTGGTGAAATATTTAAATTACAGGTGGATTTCTCTAATTTTAATTTATCATTTATAATGTGCAGAAAAATTGCCGATACATTTTAAACTTGATGGAAAGATTTCATTTTATTATTGGCAATTCTTTTATATTATTAGAACTGACTTGAATGGCAATGTGAACTGAAAAGGAATATCGATAATTTTTGGGATGAAATATTAAATTATTTCATCGAGCTGAACTCATCCAATCCCCCCTTTCAATTAGGATACAAAAGAGCAACAAAATTCTACAAACACCTAAAAACAAGTGACTCCAACTACCGTTACAAGGCTCTCCTTTTTAAAGAGAACATAGAGAGGAGTCCCTCAGTCAGCTGGTGCTGAGGCTCACCTCCTCTAACAGCACGAGGCCTCAGGAAAACCCTCACACAATCCAGCCCAACCACACTACAGCTAAAGAAAAAGAAAACTACATCAACTATCTGACCACTGTGACAGATCAGAAACTGAGAACACACCTGTGATCCATTCAACTGATTGGACATGATCTGGGAAGGCACACACCTGTCTATATAAATCTGACAATTTATATCAGAGCAAAAACCAAGCCATGAGGTCAAAGGAGCCGCCTGCAGAGTTCAGACAGGACTGTGTCGAGGCAAAGATCTTAGGAATGCTACAAACAATCCTGCTGCACAAAGCTGCCAGGCAAAAGCTTATCTTCTGTGAAACACATGAAAGCCTGCACGGAGTTTGCAAAAAAAAAAACGAACTTAAAGGACTCTCAGACTGAGTAACACGATTATCTGGTCTGATGAAATCAAGATCAAGATTGAACTGTTTGGCCTCAATTATAAGCATCATGTCTGGAGGAAACCAGGCACCGCTGTCAACCTGCACAATTCCACAGCCCAGACTTGAACCCTAACGCCAGCCCCCATCCAACCTGATGGAGCCTGAGAGGACCTGCAGAGAAGACGAGCAGAAAACCCCTAAATCCAGGTATGCAAATCTTGTTGCATCAACACTTGAGGCTGTAAATGCTGCCAATGCTGCTTCAACAAAGTACTGATGTAAGAGTTCGGAAACCTTTGTCAGTATTAATCACTTCAACAATCCTATTTTCATTTCGTCGTTGTGGAGTATCCAGTGAATGAATGAATGAATAAATGACTTTATTTCAAACCAAAACAGAACAACATAATAAAACAAACAAACAAACAAGAAGAGAACAGTGTCTGAAAGGGAGTAGGTAGAAGTATAATTTTTAAGTCACTACCCCTTTCTTACATTTCATCTTTTAACTCAACTCAACTCATCTTTTAACTAACAGTCTGTTTACCACCCAATTTGATAAATAAGTAATCAGCCCAGTTTATCTACAGTCAAAGTACCACCTGGTGTTACAAAATAAATACATTCTCCCCTAACAAAACATTTCCTCATTGATATATCTGCCAAAAATATCTTTTTTGTTTAGTTTTTTAAACAGATTTATATTTGTGCTTTGATTCAACTCATCACGCATTAGAAGATGATGTAGGTTCTGATAAGGGATAAAATAATTTAAATTATTTTACCATAAGGCTGCAACACAACAAAGTGTGAGTAAAGTGACCTCTTCACTTCTCCAACGTTGCAGTTGTACAGTACCTGTCCACTTCACTGGCGTGTAAACTGCGGTGAGCCTTCTCAGAGTGCCGACCTTTCTGGAACGGCTTCTGTAAGATTTCCTCCTCACGTTTCCTGGCGAAGGTACAAAATATACACATGTGTTAGTGGATGAGGCTGTGTAAATCAGTATAAGCTCCTGGTGACAAAAGTAAAGATGTTGATGGACAAAATTCAAATATTGTACAGCATATTTCAATAATCAAAGACATTATGGTGTTGATATAGGAAAGTAAACATGATTAAACATGTTTAATCTTACCTTTTGAGCCCTCTCTCTGAGGACTCTCCCTGCCCATCATCATCACTGAAGTCAGAGTCATAGCCGCCACCTCCGTGCACCTGGGAAACACATTTCACACAAACACATCAGTGGTATCTACTCATATATTTTCAATCCTCTCTTGACCTACAGATAGCTCCCAGTTTGTGGAAGGAATCCTCAGTGGTGCCTGTGGCAAAAGTCAGGTCTCCAGAATCTTTCACCATCACACTGTGGCCTTGACATCCCTCGTTATGAAGACATTTGAACACCTTATTAAGTCTGAATTCTTGTACTCTGTACAGGACATGCTGGACTCCTCACAGTTTGCATACAGGGCAACTAGTGGAGTGGAGGACGCTTCGGCTACTTTGTTAAATCTTGTACTGAGACATTTGGAGGAAAATATGAACCATTCTCTTCTCTTCTGCTTTTAATTGTAATCAGCCAAATGTTTTAGCTCACGGCCGTTTATCTCATTTTAATTTGGATTTTAGTATTGTGTGTTGGCTCGTTGACTTTTAACAAACAGGGCTCAGAGGGTCCAGGTTACTGCTACTGGATCCCTTCAGTGATATGTTCTTTCTCCTCTTTTATTTTTTTTATACACAAATTAATGTCAGAGTAGTATTCTTAAGTACGCGGACAACTCTGTTATTGTAAGCCTTCTTCATGGATCAGAATATGATTATGGCCCAGTACTGGGTGAATCTGTCTTTCCTCCACATTAATGTGCCTAAGACCAATGAGATGTTTATTGATTTTCAGAGGATGCCCTGCCTTCCTGCTCCTTGTATGACCAACGGGGAGCCGGAGGCAGCAGTAGAAGTATCTGGGCACTGTCTTAGATGACAAGTCCTAGGACAATCATGACATTTTTCTATTCTGCTTTTGTTGAGTCCCTTCTTTCTTTTAACATTGTCTGTTGGTTTGGTAAGCTGTGCCTTTAAAAACAAAAACAAGTTGGACAAAGAGGTCAAATTACTTTTAATAACCTACAGCATCTGTATGAAGAGAGGGTCACCTCAGACTCAACATCCCCTCCATGTTGTTTCAGATGCCTCCATCAGGGCTCCACAAAGTGTTACAGATCATCTTTTGTCTTGTCTGCCGTTGCGTCTCTCAACCAGCAGTGACCCTAAAGTCCATGACTTACCCCTGACAGTGTGTGATACTGAATTCTGTTATGTGCTGTACTGTAAGATGCCACAAAAATATCCATAGCTGCCAGTTTTTGCTGTATAACGTTACTCGATGCTTTATATCCTACTTCAGGCTTCATACATTTGGTTTAGCATTAGCTAGTGGACTTAAGCGTGCTACAATGTTGATTTATGCTTAACTTTAACCACTAAAGTCGTCGCGAATCAAGAGAGTAACGTTGCTTCAGCAGGTAACAGTAACACAGTAGTAATAACCCTGTTAGCAACTAGCTAACTTATCTTTAAGCTAACGTTTCATGCTAACTCGTTCGTAACAGACACACGAAATGTTCTTCGAAACATTTGGCGTAAAAATAAAATAACAGATATAATATATGTTACCTTCACGAGACTCTCCATGGTCTCACTCACTTCAGTCTCCAGCAACTGCCTGCGAGTGTTTACAAAATGAAAATCGCGTCGCCGTGTGATGACGCACACAGCAACTCGCGCGATATGATGACGTGTCGCCTAACTTCATGAATTATTCTGCGAGAATGTGCTGAGAAAAGATGAAAATAAGCCTCTGACATAAATATTAATGCAGGGGGGGTCGTCGGGGACACTTTGAGGTTTCAAAATAAGATGCTCAAAATCTCGAGGTTAAATAATGATGTCTTTGTTTGCATTTATTGTTTGTGTCCTAATTGTGCTTTTCATGTTTATCTCTCATGGTATCACAGCTCTAATGGGCCTAATTTTTATTTTATTTTATATGTTATGTTATGTTATTTTTTTAATCAGGTCTGCATAAATAGCCTAATTCATCCCTCAATTTATTTTTATTTTTTTTCCAATATTTCCTGGAGGGCAAGCCATCATCACAAAACATGCTCTAATTAAAAAATCTATTGGGGGAAAAAACAGGATGAGTAGAACATCCGACACTGACTTGCATTTTAGAACAAATTACTATGATTAATTAGCAACCCTGTGATCATATCGCTCATTTCCGCTGAGGGACAATAAAAAGAGGAAGCCTGTGGGCGTTTTAAAATAAAGAGGTTATTGTGCTATTTGAATGTTTCTGTGCGATTGAGGGCATGGGTTATTTGGGGTGACAGGGGTGAAAGTTCACCACAGGCTGGGAATAGACGTCCAGTGTTTCATGAGTTTTCCACAAGAACTCAACAAAGGATTCAATGTAGGATTTAAGGAAGAGAGGACGTAGGGGAGAGATGCTTTAATGGCTCAAATCATCTGTTGTCTCAAGAAAAGTGGGAATATAATGAAATTCAGTGCTGTGTTACCCCATGTAGGCTAGCATATATGTTATTCCATGAAGGCCAACAGCAATATTATCAATTTAGATGCAAATATAAGATGTAATGTAAAAAAAAACAATTTAAATAACGCAATGTCATAATTTCTTTATATTATATGTTTATATGTGGTGTTTATTTTTATGTACCCACTATAAGCTCATCTTCTTTTCACAGTTGATGCCATTATTGTGCCAAAGCAGGGATGAAAAGATGCAGCATGTGAATGAGTGAGGCAGGTGCATCTGCACAGAGCCTCATGAATAGCCGCTTCCCATTAACCATGCACGGCTCTGAAGCGCGCATAAATAATAGCTGGCAGCGCTGATAAAAAAGCGCACCTTGGGGCCTCTCCCCCCTCTTCCTCCTCCTCCTCCTTTTCTGTCTCTGTCTCTCTTTCTTCCCTTCTCTTTCTCTCTCACGGGAATTTACGCTTTTATTTGTTTTTCTTTTCACGGCTGCAGCATTGAGTCTGCAACAAGACAACTTATTTTGCCACCAGCAGACTAATAGGAGACATTTTTAGCAGTGTTTTTTTTAGATTAATCTGAGATAATTCGTTTGCATTACCAAAAAAATCTGCTCCCTGGTCTGCTCTCATGTCCTGTCCTGTCCCGCATTTGTAATCCTGCGCCTTGCAGAACGAATCCGCTGGACTGGTGCCTTCCTATTGAGACGCAAGAGGCATAGACACAAGCCTGCGTCTGAGCGCAACAACACCAGCTTCTATTATAAACAAACATACCCCCCAAATAAAAAATTAGAAGCACTTTTAAAAACCTGCGGGGTTACAAATTGTGGAGGATTTCAACGAGAAGTTGCATGTGCAGGAGACATAGTCCGGGACAGAAGGAATGGGATACCCGGGCAGCAGAGCAGAGAGAGGATGGAAAGGATGGACGCTCCTGGTTTGGGTCGCCGCTGTCAGCTTGGTGCTCGCAGACGGACGGAGAGTGAGGCAGCCCAGATGTCCCGTTGGATGTACCTGCACCAAAGACAATGCCCTGTGTGAGAATGTCCGATCTGTGCCTCACACTTTCCCATCCGACGTCGTGTCACTGTAAGTGCTCCTGAATAGACTCTTTATTTTATTGTGGACTGTGGGGAAAGCCTGTGGAAACACTGTCTGCCTTAGCCAGAACTCATATTTATTATACTTTCATTTATGTTTTTCATGCATTCAGATCTTTTGTCAAGTCTGGATTTAATGAAATAACAGGAGCAAGCTTTGTCCACACTCCTGCCCTGCAACTGCTGTGAGTATCCATCCATTTATCTGTCTATCTGTGTGTGAATAAATCTATTTTCAGTGTTTAACAGACTCACACAATGAGGCATGAGCTCCCCAGAGGACTCAGATAGAGGCTGATATGCACATTTAAAAGGGGGATTCTCTGTAATGGTGTCAGGATTATGCAATAGACCACATGGCTACAGCCCATAACAGAAGGGGGCTGAGGAGAGAGCTGCTATTTGTGTGTGTGTGTGTGTGTGTGTGTGTGTTTGCTTGGAAAATGTAGAGAGGCAGATATAAATAATGAAAATGTTCTTTTTTCCCCAAAGAAAGCACTTAAAAAAAGAGGCAACAACAGTAAAAATCATAATTGCACACATAACTATGGAGTTTAAATCCCCATTTCTTTGACATATGACATCCATTATTATACATCTTGGCAGGACTGGAGTTTACTGGGCAATTCTGTTGTTGCAAATCCACAGATTAACAGCGAGGTCAGGCTTAACTGTGCTCTCCAATCACAGTTGTTATAGTTTATTGCACGTAACAGCGGGCTGTCACCGGGCATCGTTTTGTCTCGGCAAAACAATTTTTCTTGGCATCAGTTGTTCCATATGCTCGGATGACACTTAATCAGTCTGGATGTGCATGAAGGGTTGTGAATAGAAATCTAACTGGGGAAGATGGATGAGTGGCATCGCCCCCTCTGTCATTATTTACTGCCAAGGTGACCTGGAGTATCTTAACCTCCATTAGAGTACTACTTAATCAATTGGGCTCCTCTATGGCCAACACTGTGAGTTTAAAGTGTCACTGGTTTGCTGAGTGTGCAGTGAGTAATGGAAAGCGTTTTATTACAGAATTAGGTGTCCAGCATTTTGGAATTACAGCCTCTTTTTTGAAATGATGTTCCAGGATTAAAATGCTTCAAAATGAAACCATATGAGTTCTCAGATCATCATTTAGATGCAGTGAGGTGCACAGTGTATCCCTGTTGGACTCTATTCTTACATTGCCGGTTTAAAGGGTGACTCAGAAACATGTGGGAGGAGGCATCCATTCCTCTCTTTCATTCATTTCATGAGGAGCATGTAGGAGTGATCTGCCATTTCTCTTTCATTCATTTCATTCATTCTTGAACCACGTACTGTGGGCAGAGATGCTGAATGAGTCTGTTGTCTGTTACAGTAAATCTATCTTTCCTGCTGTTTTGGATATAGAGTTACGGATGTTGGGAGAAGGCAAAAATAGATCACAGCATTTATCCCGATATGATTATATGAGTTTAAAGGGACAGTTCACCCCATGATCAAAAATATGTATGTTTCCTCTCCCCTGTGGTGCTATCCATCAGTGTAGATTGTTTTGGTGTAAGATGCAGAGTGTTGGAGATATCAGCCGTAGAGGTGTCTGCCTTCTCTTGAATATAATGGAACTAGATGGCACTCGGCTTGTGGTGCTCAAAGTGCCAAATACCTACATTTGAAAAACTCAACAGCAATGTCTCTTTGCGAAAATCATGACCCAGTTACTCAAGATAATCCACAGACCTTGTTGTGAGCAGTTTCAGGAACTATTTTCTTTCTACCCAACTACACCCACCAACCATATCACTGCGCAGAAGGAAGCGTGCATCTACTCATGGACAAGAAGCTCGTGCTCACAATGTATTCTCATACAACTTTTTGTATGATATTCTACGCATGAGCACCCCACGAATGCCGTAACCTTTTTAACGTAAAGTAACATTCATAACATAAAGTTATGGAGGTTAGGTTTAATCAAGTAAAGTTACCGTGTTTCAGTGTAGAAAAAGGAACATGGTGATGATCAGTGTTCAGCAAGCTACCTGAAAAATGTAGTGAGCTAAGCTACCAGTTACACTACAATGAAGCTACCCCCAGAGAAATGTAGCAAGCTAAGCTACCAGAAAAGGGCAAAAGTAGCTTGCTACTTGCAAAACTACTTTTATTTTTTTATTTATTTATTTATTTTACAACATGTCAAATTAGCGTTATCTCAGTGATAAAAAAAAATGTCAGCCGTAAAAGTTAGCTGTACTTCAGGGCCCGTATTCACAAAGAATTCTAAGACTAAAAGTAACTCTTAGTGACGTCATTCTAAGAAAAATCTTAGAATTCCTCGAATTCTAAGATTTTTCTTAGAATTTTCCCTTGGTAAGATAAAAGTTATTCACAAAGAATCTTAGGCCTTAAGAGAGCTCCTAAGGTGAAAAACTGTTAAGAGGAGGGAGGAAGACTTTTAAGAAGCCTAAAAGTGTCTTAAACAGAGAAGATGGCAGAAAGACAGAGAGGAAGGAGAGATGTTCTCCGTATATTGAACGACAGTGATTTAATAAGACGCTACCGGCTTGATCGTGCAGGGATGTTTGTGGTTGACCTCATCAGGGATGAGCTTACTTTTCCCACCCAGCGTAGTAACGCAATAACGCCAGCTTTGGATTGCAGCACGTACCAGCGCTTCTCACATTCATTGCTTGTGCGTAAAAGGAGAGGGAACGACGCATTGATTTGTCTGGCAATGCGCTCCCAAGTCTGCCTCTTCCCTTGTGCCGTGATCCCGGGACCGAATTTACCTCTTAAAACTCATTTGTTCTCCTCCACGAGCTGTGCCAACAGCAGGCACTGCTCTTCTGTCCAGTTCGGCTTTCTCGTTCTTTTTTTCCTCCATTTCATTTGTTGTTTTGGTCATTCTGCCAAATCAAACCGCTTTTTACAAGGAGGCCAGCAATCACAGTAATTGCTGACAGCTGAGTCTGCGTCCACCATTAATATCAAATAGATTAAGTAGTAAAATTACCAGCATGGCGAGTAAACATAGCTAATAAACAAATCAATATTATAATCGGCATGTGAATGAGGTACGTTCAAACATTTTGAAGCTGTGTAACAATTAATCTAATTTTGCTGAGTTTCATCATCATGACATAAAATTATTTTCACGATTACACATTTCTTAATAGCCTACAGTCTAAGTTCTATGATCGGTTCATTTCACTGTCCATTCATTACTAGGAGCGCATTTGTTTTTCTTTCTTTTTTCCTTTTTGTAACAACCAATCACAGCTTTAAGAAGACTGCGTCATACCTAGCAACGGGGTCAACCACACCTCCTCACTAAGATAAAAGTTTCTGTCCCCTCCTTGCTCAGAGTTGCTCTCAGAAACTTCCTGAATCACTCTTAAGCTAAGATTACTTGCTAGGAATTTTTAGGCTAAGTGAGGAGCTCTCTGAGAGGACTCTGAGAATCTTTGTGAATACGGGCCCAGAGCTTTTTCTTGGAAAAAAATAAAAATTAATTAAAATTAAGTAACTTTCGCTACTGAAGAGCTATTTGATTCAGAAAGAAGTGACATTACCACCACGCTACTGAGAAATGCAGTTAAATTCGTGACAACCCACTTGTAGTGACGCTACTGCCTGACACTGGTAGCGATGCAGCTTAAAATGACTCAAAGTTCACACATTTCTAAACATCAGTCTCTAGGAGGAAAGTCCTGTGCTTTTTGACTCATCCACCAATCCAACCCTTCTACTCTACTCTCGTTACTCTCGCCAGCACATTGGTCACATGATTCCAGCCTTCCCAAACACATGTGTTATACACAGATTACTGGCTCATGATTATGCGGGTATGCATGAATTTTGGTGATTTACTCTTTATAGAAAGAAGATAGCTCCTACCACTTTAAGCAAGGTCTGCAGATATGTTGAGCAACTGGGTCATGATTTCTGGAAAGAGACATTGCTGTTGAGTTTTTCAAATCTATTTTTTTGGCACTTTGAGCACCACAAGCTGAGTGCCATCTTGTTCCATTATTTTTTTGACAAGGCAGACATCTCTACAGTCGATATCACTCAGCAACTCACACCAAAACAATCTAGACTGATAACTTGCACTACAGGTAAGAGGAAAAACATGTATTTTTGATTTGGGGATTGATAGGCTAGTGACAAACTGTCAAAAAGGGCTTTAGTTTTTGAGATACCCCTACCGGAGGTAGAACAAAACCTAACAATGTTTTTCCTCATCTCTAAGGTCTCCCATATATGAAATGGATTCTTAGGTTTAAATATTTTACTGCAAATATTGTTAAATTGATACATATTGTTATACACCCCAAACCTAAAAAAGAACCAAAATATAGCCTGGCTGTATAGGAGTTAAGACATATAAACTCATGTAGATTAAGAACACAAGCTCTGACAGCTTTGAAACTTCACATAATTGTGGTCAGGACCACAGACCCATGAACACTTGCCTAAAATAAGCGGACATGCAAAAAAAGAATATCTATGCAGAATGTTCTCATTTACTTTGTAGTTGCTTGGCCAGGGATTGTCATAGAAACACATATGATGGCTTGTTGGAAAGGTGGGGCTGTGCTGAATCCAGTGGTACCAAATATGTGAATATAACATGCATAGTCAGTGTGTTATATCACTAAATATATGAAGTGTCCCAAATGAAGGAAAGTGAGACATTGACATAATCAAGTCTCCAAAGCCTATTATCAATGGTGAGAAGAATGTTGACCAATTCAGTGTTACTGCAAACTAAGTAAGTCACTTGAGGTTAGTGCTGCCTATATGTATGATGCATTTCATAAATTGTAGGTTCATATGACACCTTTTACTATATAGTTCCTATGGAAACAAAGATTGAAATTGAAGGGAGACAATAAGGCGACAAGGAGACAGGATTGTAGTTTGGCCTTGATGATCCTTTTAATAAAACTATAAATAAAACACTCTGAGGAGGAATGACCCCTCTACTCACACTAAACTCTAGCTCTTTGGCTGGTGTTTTTCATGGGCTGTGTAGTCATCACTGTCACTCATCCACATTATCTTCAGTGACAAAGTGGGTCATATTTGGGCAGTCTGGGAAAGAGCAAGAACAAAACTCAGTGCATGTCAAGCCCACTTAAAGACACTGGCATTTGCTTGTGTAATTGCACTTTCCATCTTTACAATACAAGTGGGTGATGTCTCTCACTTCTTTAGGTGCTGGTGCCTTCTGGAACATGATAGGTTCAACTGACCCATCTTCTCTGAGCCTCCATCCTCTACCAAATGGGTTCCAGAGATGAGGCTTGGCCAGGTGGCTGTGATGCCACACTGCTGTTTGGTATAAGGCTCTTAACACATGTTGCTGGAAGGCATCGACTGTTGGGGGTAGATTTGCTGCCGATGAATCTGTGGTAGATGCTAGTGTGTACCTCAGCTCATCTAGGTAGGTGCAAAGACGGCCATTCTACTTTTTCTTTTGGCCATACAGGAGGAGGGCATACTGTCTTGCCACAGGCAAAGCTTCTTCTAGGCTTTCAGACAGTCCAAACTTGGCCATTTCCTTTAGCTCAGTCAGATGGGTCTTCAGTCTTGTGAAGGCAGTGGTCTTCCCAATTCTGTACAACTACTTGTGGTATCACAACCCGTGAGGTCGTGGCATGCAGGTAAACACTCACAAAGAGTGTTTGTCCCAGTTTGTACAATCACTCAGAAGCTTGGAGCAGCTCTTTGTGAGTGTTTACCTGCATGCCACGACCTCACATGATCTACCACAGATTCATCGGCAGCAAATCTACCCCCAACAGACGATGCCTTCCAGCAACATGTGTTAAGAGCCTTATACCAAACAGCAGTGTGGCATCACAGCCACCTGGCCAAGCCTCATCTCTGGAACCCATTTGGTAGAGGATGGAGGCTCAGAGAAGATGGGTCAGTTGAACCTATCATGTTCCAGAAGGCACCAGCACCTAAAGAAGTGAGAGACATCACCCACTTGTATTGTAAAGATGTAAAGTGCAATTACACAAGCAGATGCCAGCGTCTTTCAGTTTTATTAAAAGCATCATCAAAGCCAAACTACAATCCTGTCTCCTTGTCGCCTTATTGTCTCCCTTCAATTTCAATCTTTGTTTCCATAGGAACTATATAGTAAAAGGTGTCATATGAACCTACCATTTATGAAATGCATCATACATATAGGCAGCACTAACCTCAAGTGACTTACTTAGTTTGCAGTGTCGTTTATTACATAGCGATGATGTGAAGGTGATGAAGGAGACTCCGCTGACACCGTCTTGCTTGTATACAGAAAAGGTTTATTACAAGAAGTACAGCATCAAATCAAGCATCTAGATTGCCTGTGAGAGTGTTCGAAGCCAATATGAACTGCTCTGAATATCAGCTCCAAATACCATGCCTATATAGAGTTCGGTTGTTTTTGTAAACTTTGAGACAAAATGTGACAGGTGACAGAGAGACAATCTAGATGGAATCCAACCTTTCAACCTAGCTTATCTATCCTTGACCTAGGCCATAATAAAGTCTTGACCTGGGCCCCTAACTGATCATAACAGATCCAGTCATCACATAACATGTGGCACGTCAGATACTACAGCAGTAACACTGAATTGGTCAACATTCTTCTCACCATTGATAATGGGCTTTGGGGACTTGATTATGTCAATGTTTCACTTTCCTTCATTTGGGACACTTCATACATTTAGTGATATAACACACTGACTATGCATGTTATATTCACATATTTGGTACCACTGGATTCAGCACAGCCCCACCTTTCCAACAAGCCATCATATGTGTTTCTATGACAATCCCTGGCCAAGCAACTACAAAGTAAATGAGAACATTCTGCATAGATATTCTTTTTTTGCATGTCCACTTATTTTAGGCAAGTGTTCATGGGTCTCTATATGTTACACACATCAAGATATTCACATCCAGGTTTTTCTAGTAGGTGAAGCAACTTCCTGACCACAATTATGTGAAGTTTCAAAGCTGTCAGAGCTTGTGTTCTTAATCTACATGAGTTTATATGTCTTAACTCCTATACAGCCAGGCTATATTTTGGTATATGTATCATGTAATATGTATCAATTTAACAATATTTGCAGTAAAATATTTAAACCTAAGAATCCATTTCATATATGGGAGACCTTAGAGATGAGGAAAAACATTGTTAGGTTTTGTTCTACCCCCGGTAGGGGTATCTCAAATTTTTGGGGGCATTGTCACTAGCCTATGACTGTCCCTTTATAAATACAGTGCCAGGTTTCCAAACAGCATCCCCAAATCTTAACATTTCATCCAAGTTCAACCCAGTCCACGTTTTGAGTTATGAAACCTGAAAAATGTAGGCATTTAGGAGCACTGTGGGAACTATCATAAAATCTGATTGTACTGCTTTTACTGTTCTTTGCAGATTATTCACAGCAAATTCATTTGACCTGATAGATGAGGATGCATTCTTGGGTTTACCACATCTTGAATATCTGTAAGTATTTTTCTTTAATTTAAAAATGGTTGATATATAACGTGTGGTGAAAGGCCATAAAATACACATTGTTCTTTCTTGCATGCCTTCAGTATTATACTAATAGGAACCACTGTTGCTTTGCATTGTGGTACAACAGCGTCCATCAACACCACACTCGATGAAGCAATATTGGCCTGTATGCTGGTATTTTAAAGCCCCCACACAGGTGTTTTCACTTATGTTGCCTGATTATGGGAGGACAACTTCCATCTCTATGAATCTTATTCAAAAAGTTTGCAGACATCATATAATGCCCAGCCTAATTGAGAACACCTGCTTGGCTGTGTAAGGCCTTTTAAGCATAATTTATTCTGACATCTACCCTGTAAGAATGTACAGCATGCTTAGATAGTATACAGTGTAATATGTGGTTAGAACTGAGCTCATGTTTTGTGGTCTGACATCACCAGACCAAATCAGAAATGTGAGTTATCTGTTAGAGCAAATAAAACATGAGCTTTCAGATTCATGTGGTTCCAGTGTTACACGTTTTCCACACAACCCCCCATAACTGCTGTCAGCCGCTCAACTGCAAAGGGAGAGGATATGCAGAAAGTTAAAGGATGTTAGTTTTTAGTGTCACAATATGTATTACTAGTGTGGTATTATTTACTTTGTGATAATCTATATTTCAGTCAGTAACACTTTAGTCAAAAAAACTATTTCCATTTGCAGTATTATATTTGGCAGTATGGCTCTGTTCTGGGGCCTCTCTGCCTTTCCTTGGGCCTACGCAGAAAGTCTCTTCCATATGCCTACTTGGAAAGCCCTAAAGCAGAGAGAGCACACCTTTCTGCCCTTCCACGTGCAAACAAGAAAAGCCTAAGGCAGAGAGAGCAAACCTCCCTGCCCTTCCATGCGCCTTTGTGTAAAGCCTAAGACAGGAAGATCAGCAGCAAAGACAGAACAGGAACAGAACAGAGCAGAATCAATGACAAACACAAATGACATTGATAAGTCAGACACAGCATGAAAAGGAGGAGCTGGGGTGGAGGCGGGTTGCAAAGTGGCTCGCAGAGGAAGCAGCAACAGTAGGCAGGCCAGAGCAGTTTAAATAGGATGTCCTGAATGAGATTTGCCAATTGGTTGCATAGAAAGGAATCATGTGATCTATCAGCTGACTCCCTTCCATCAATCAGCTGCTCCATCAATTGGTTGGGCTATTTGAGATCAGCTGATGTAGCTGGGATGTGAGCTGAGCTTGACATCGTGTCCTGCCTGAGCTAATGCTATGCTTAATTAATCTACCAAAATGCTAACGAAATACTTTTCTTTCACAGATTTATTGAAAATAACAAAATCGCATCGATATCCCCATTTGCCTTCCGGGGCCTGAAAGCACTCATACATCTGTAAGTATTTTGGTTCTGTGGTGGCCAACTTCATTTTCCCTCTATAATTCCTTCATCCTTTATTCCCAAATAGGGGAACTCGCCTCACTGTATCTGTTCCTTCCTCCTTCCTCCCCAGTTTTTATAATTCATTACTTTATCTAATCATTAACAATCTGCACAGCAGCTTCCACATCCTCAGTATGAGTCATTTCTCTGTAGGAGAGGGAATGGGATTTTAGTATTCGTGATATTCTAACACAAACCGTGCATCAATGTCCTGTTTCTCCCTCTGTATCACTTTGTCACTGTCTGAAATGCAGAGGTAGGCAGAAGTGCTGCTGCCAGTGGTGATGTCCAAGGTTACTGGCTGAAGGTGTCGGCCGGATCCGGTTGCTGAAGGGCAGATCTGGATGTCACATTGCCTTAGGCATAAAAAGATAAATGACTTTTGTGACTTTACTGGCATGAAGCTTCACTAATGAGACGTGTCAGTAGTGCTACTGTGTCTTCTGTAGACTGCTGTGGGGTCTATTGTGAGTGTGAGATAAGTATTGGGTAGCATCTAATGTATCTGTGTTTATGATACTGACGAACGATATCATAAAATGGAATCCCATGTTAACAGAAATGATGTTAACAAATCTTAGTTCAGAACACAGCCAAAAAAGAGTTTGTAAACAGTGTTTTGTGAACACTGTCCTATTCCTGACCTGCAAAGCTTGCCAAAACTAAAGATAGGTGAGAGCATGAGTGACCTGTAGGCCAAAACTAAATATAACTGCACTGTAACCTCACACTGAGTGACCTTTAATCTCTCTGTAAAGTCTCTGGCAGTCTGTTCCCAACACATTTTGAGTTTATGCAGTGAAGTGCATGCTTTCGATGAGAGAAGGTATAACTCTGATGACGAGACAAATAAGTATGATTGAATCTGCAAATATTAGTTTTAGTGAAAATATTTGTGGCTCTCTCGAAAATAAATTTTAAAAAAGCCATATAAACTGGGATAGATCAAAAGTAGAAGACACACAAATAACAGTTTCCCATCATTTATGCTTCAACAACTTCACACACTGAAATTCAAGCAAACTCATCCACTAGATTGTCCTGGGCCTGATAAGCCTCTGCATTCATTTATGCCTTGAGCACTGATGGATATTATTGACAGTGACTTGTCTGAGAGAAGCTGTCAAAGAGCATGTAACTAACCACATCAGAGGAAATGTTGCCTTGACGACTGTTGCAGCAGACATCTCATTGAAAGGGTGTAGAAAGTAGTGACCATGTGCAGCATTAGCTGACACTAATGTTTTCTACCAAGACTTGTTACAACCTTAGTTACGTGAAGTGTTAAAGGCATAATTCAACATTTTGGAGGATACCCTTATTTGTTTTCTGGGCCAGAGTTAGATAAGAAGATCAATACCATTGTTTGTCAGTTCCCACCCTACTTGGACTTTCGCCCCCTTAACTTAGGCTGTTGTCTGGCCGCGTTTCCCCCTGATGCCACTGTGTGTCGTTATAGAATAACGGTGACCGACCACGTATCATGCGGACGTGAAAGGACAGCTTTTTTCGTTGATTTATTCAACAACTTCAGAGTGAGACCAGGTTTCACGGTTCACACTTCAGGTTAAGAAAAACCTGAAATGTTTTGGTTCCAGCTGAGAACCAACTATTCGGGTTCCAAACCAACGTATCTTTGGTTGAAATGCTTTAAAAGATTCAAAATTAAGTGCAGGAACTGGAATGGAACCTGCTCCATGTTGGTGGAAAAGGGGTCCGGGTAGCCCTTCTCTAAAATGATCAACTTCTCCTTCGTCACATGACATGCAGTGCATGTTGCTGCATTCTAAAAGTTGAACTCTGTCTGTCGTGGTACGTGTCCACAGGGGCAGTTTTGGACGTAAAGGGTTGTGCCACTTCTAGTCCGGGTATGTCAAACCAGACCAACATGGTGGCTTGTTAAGAAACTTTCTCTTACATTCAAAAGTTCTTTGTTCCTGAAAACATTTGAGGCAAGAAATAAGCCATGCAGTTGCTAACTTTGTCTTTGTTGTCAATCAACAACGGTTAGTTTAAAAGTTTTCAGAGGTGGTAAGGCATACTTGACGCCCCTAATTTGCCTATACTCAACTTAATTCAAATGAGGAGCAGACACCACATCTCTCAAAAAGAAATGCAGCACCACCAGAATGCATTGCACAGCTGCTTGCCTAGACAGTGAAAGAGAAAGGATGGGTCCTGTGGACACGCACCATCAGGGCACTTCAGAAGGCACAAAAACCATGGCATGTGTCCGGGGTGTCAGATTTGCCCCTAAGATCTGCTCATGACTGATAAAGTCATACGCAACCACGTAATGGGATATGCTTAATGTATACCTTTACTTGTTTCAGTGCAAAGTAAACAAAGTTTCATACAGAAAAAGACGACTAAACACATTATCAGGGGGCATTTAAAATGTGCCACATACAGTTAATACATTATTGAAGAGCACAGGCCAGGGTCCTGCTGGAATCCTGTCCACTCTGCTCTACCTCCATCTGTTTGCAGAGTGCATTCTTGCACAAACTCAAATCAAAATGGCTTCTTTTGCTCTCTTTGGGAAACCGACTCTCAAATAAATAATGCAGTGTTCATGAATTACGCTGACATTTCATTTCATTCACATCTCTTTCTGGTTTGAAGTTCATTCTCTTGCCCACAAATAAAATGTCTCTGTAGGACCAGCGTTTGTTGGTTGGCAAAGATATCATGGACTTGACAGCCTTGGAGAAGGATATTCCCTTCTATTTCACCTCTCTTTCTGTCTTTTTGACAGCTGTAACACTACTGTACTATGTCTGAGCTGCGCCTTCCTTAAGTGCAGTTTCTTGTTAATAGTTTATTCTACTCTGCTCAAGTCAGTCTATCAGGGTTAGGGGTTAGGGTTAGGGTTAATAGTTGTTTCATTTACTAGCAGTCTGAGAGTGCAGGAGTAGCGACACAAAAGCTTGGTGTGGCAGCTGGATTTCTTTCACCTCGCAAGTTATACATCAAAATGAAGCTTAGAACCTGTAGTCTTTAACTGTATATTTTAATTATGCCATTTTAAAACCTCAGTCAAAATATTAGAAAAATATGATCGGTCAATATTCATCTGTTTAAGATGTAACATGCTTCATGTATCAATCATAGGTTTTGTGGAATTTTGACTTGGCATTGACACACACACTACAAAGTATTTCCTGTTATTTAAACAAATGGAAATTTAAAAAAAAATCTAGGGAATACATTTGGCATTAGAGAGTAAAAGTCCTCCGAAAAGTAGTCCTTTAAAAATTATACTCAATGGAGCAAAAAGTTTAACAGTATACCCAACATCGCCAGCCTCTGCTGCCATGTCCCATGGAGTCTTCTACTCTCCAGTCTGGAACTGGTCCTTCTGGCAGCAATAATCAAAATCCCTAAATGTCCTCTGCATCTTCGCCATCAATGTCCCCTTCACCCCCAATCAATAGGCTTCCAGAGAAAGTGTTTTTCAACAGGCTGCCACAGGGCCCCAGGCGCAGAACCCGGCCTCCTCCATGCGGTGGGTGTAGCAACTCTGAGGAGGAGAATATTTCCCCAGAAGAACTGGAGCAGTTTGCTAAGGGCCTGAAACACAAATGCATTACCTTGGGTTTCACTCAAGCTCATGTTGGCCTTGCCCTGGGTAACCTGGACTGGCTGGCTGCCTACCATGGAGGAGAAGGCTGGAAGCCAAGGTCAAGGAAGCCCGGAGGGACATTAGTTGGCTAACTGAAGTGCAAAAGGGGGTCATGACAGGCAGGTCCTGGATGAATAAGAAGTACAACAAGATGTCAATGAGTGAGGCTCTAGAGACTGCTAAACAAAGACTCACACCTCTGGCTGCTAGGCTAAAGAGGTGCACTAGAGAAGCAGAGGCCAAGAGAATAAATGGCCTGTTCTCCAAAGATCCATCAAGGGTGTGCTCCCAGCTGCAAGGGAACAACAACACAAGGACAAACCCACCCAGAGACTGCACAATACTGGAAGGGCAAGGGCTGATCCACTCCCGCTGGCTGAAAAAGCTAACAGCGGTCCATGATTGCCTGGCAGCACAATGAGCCATCACTCATCCAGACTGGCTAACACAAGGCAAGACAATAGGACAGTACTTGCATACATACATATATATGCACTCCCGACAATGTCTGGGCATACTTCTGATGAGTCAGCGAATGGGGTCCTGGGGGATCTCCTCCCAGACCTGGATCAGGGTGTCAGTGAGCACCTGAACAGTCTGTGGCATTACTTGGTGGTGTTGGATGCACTGATACATAACATCCCAAAGGTGCTCAATTGGATTTAGGTAAGGGGAACAAGAGGGCCGGTCCATGGCATCAATGTCTTCGTCATCCAGGAACTGCCTACACACTCTGGCCACATGAGGCCGGGCATTGTCCTGCACCAGGAGGAACCCAGGGCCTACTGCACCAGCCTAAGGTCTGATGATCGCTCTGAGGATTTCATCTCAGTACCTAACAGCAGTCAGGGTACCGTTAGCTATGACATGGAGGTATGTGCCTCCAAGGATATGCCTCCCCAGACCATCACTGACCCCACCACCAAACTGGTCATGCTGGATGATGTTACAGGCACCATAACATTCACCATGGTGTCTCCAGACCCTTTCACACCTGTCACGTGTGCTCAGTGTGAACCTGTGTGAACAGGGCGCCAGTGGTGGACCTGCCAATTCTGGTGTTCTCTGGGGAAAACCGGTCAAGCTCCATGGTGCTAGGCTGTGAGCACAGGTCCCACTAGAGGACGTTGTGCCCTCATGCCACCCTCATGGAGTCTGTCTCTGACAGTTTGGTCAGAAACATGCACACCAGTAACCTGCTGGAGGTCATTTTGTAGGGCTCTGGCAGTGCTCCTCCGTTCCTCCTCACACAAAGGAGCAGATACCAGTCCTACTGCTGGGTTGATGCCCTTCTACGGCCCTGTCCAGCTCTCCTCGTGTAATGACTGGTCTCATGCTTTCTCCTCCATGCTCCTGAGACTATGCTGGGAGACAGCAAACCTTCTTGCGATCGCATACTGTATATGGATGTGCCATCCTGGAGGAGCTAGACTACCTGTGCAACCTGATTGGGCTGCAGGTACCAACCAGTAGTGACAAGAACACTAGAAGAACACAAAACTACAGAAGAATCAGTCAGGAAGGATAAGGAGAGAGCAACTATCTGTGGCCACCACATGTAAAACCATTCCCTTTTTGGGGGTTATCTTGAATTTGCCTCTCTGTGAAACTGATTCACAACCAGTTGTGCTTCCTAAATGGACAGATCGATATCCCTGAAGTTTAACTGACTTGGTGTTATACTGTGACCATTGAGTGTTCCCTTAATTTCTTTGAGCAGTGTATATATTTCCTAATTAATATATTTCAAGATTTACTTCATTGGCATATAGACAGTTTGTAAAACTTTAGTTAAAATAAAAAATCTATTGATTTCTACTGATCAATATGCTTTTGAGGCACAACAATTTGCTTTGTAAATCAATATTAATTTAGGAAATACTTTTTTTATCCAATTAAATGTGACTTCTGGTATAAACAGTGCCCACTTCCTGTCTTCATCCAAGACTGGGACAACGACAGTGACATATAATGTTGTTGGTTAAACAGATACAGGTAAAGATACAGATACAGGTAATGACGTCTTTGCATCTCTGTACACTTGTAATGTCTTTCCGTGTGTGTATTATTTTTTCTCTTTGTTGATTAGGAGTCTGGCTTACAACAACCTTGAGACGCTGCCAAAAGATGTCTTCAAGGGCATGGACGCTTTGACCAAAGTGTGAGTTCAGTCTGTCACCCTGTTACTCAGAGTGCTCTCTTGAGACACAGAACATTTAGTAATCAGTTAATAAATCAGTTTCTGATTCACTGATTGATTCTGTAAGTCTTTTTTGTGGATTCATGTGTGACAGTACAATTTTCTTGATTGGTATTTATCCTGATATAGTCGTGTAGGACAGTGTTTTGTATTCCGAGAGATTCATTGTAAAAGAGTGGGAAAGGATTTATGACAAATGTTGAGCAAAATCTCCCTTTGTCCTCCTCCCTCTTTTCTTAAACTGTGGGATTAAATAAAGCAATATTATGAGGTCCCAGTGCTAAAAAGGAAGTAAGGAGGAATTCCCACACTTAACAGAGGATGTAAAAATAAAAAGCCGGGGAAAATGAGGCCACAGTGAGGAGGAAAAGACGTTAGAAGTACCAGAGCAAGGAAACAAGAGATTGCAGAGGAAGTTGTTCACTGCTGCAATAGAGAAAAGAAAAAGAAGGTAAAGATCTGAAGGAGAGGGGAGGAAAGCTTGGGTTAGGTGCCAGAATGTCAGAGTAAATGGTAAACAAGTCAATTACAGAGAAAAGAATTGGATCCTCGCTTCTGTCACGCAGCCACAATCAGCTTGAATAATGCACGCTACAGTGTGTGTGTGTGTGGTTGATACACACATCCAAGGTCAACAGCAATTCAGAGTGAGAGTGGGTGAGACCAGCAGAAACTACTCAGGAGATAGGACACTTGTTGTTGTGGCTTTCCTGGCTTGAAGCCAAATTGCAGCCAAAGACAGGAGGAACAGACGGGGGAACAGTCAGCAGAATCTTAATAGGAATTGGAAATAAAAGTATGTGTTTAACGGTAAATGATTTTATGTCTTAAAGGAAGACTTCACTAGTCAAATGACCATTTGTATATCAATTACTCACCCTGAGTTTTGTTGAATTCCTGAAGAAAACTTTTGTTTTCTCGCATACCTTCAGCGTATGAAGAATCCAAAAAAAACCAAGAGAAAATTCTGGATGAATTGAAGTAAATGGGGTCCATGTTAAAGGGACATTGTGTAACATTTTCAGTTGTTTATTGGCAAAAA